TTGACTTTGACACCACAATGTAACCCCTTCCCAGTAAGGAATTATCGCTTTTGATTTGGATATGTTGTATTTCCTTTCCGCTACGGCCTACATGCAAAGTTTGAAGTCAATTGACTCCGTGGTTGATTAGACGTTCAACGTCTGAAACCAAATGGAATGTACGTCCAATCTGCCCTGCTCTGATTGGTCGGTTTTCTAACCCTGAATGGAATGGACGTCCATTCCACCCCCACCTGTTGGATAGACTTCCTCATCCAACGGGTTCGACGTCCAACGGGTTTGGGTCCAGCGTGTTCAACTCCCAACGGGTTAATGCGCTCCTGGGACGGGTTTGACGTCCAACGGGTTGGGTCCAGCGCGTTCGACTTCCTCATCCAACGGGTTCGACATCCAACGGGTTTGGGTCCAGCGTGTTCGACTTCCAACGGGTTAATGCGCTCCTGGGACGGGTTTGACGTCCAACGGGTTTGACGTCCAACGGGTTGGGTCCAACGGGTTGATGGGTTCATCCAACGGGATGATGGGTTCATCCAACGGGTTCGGGCATATGGGGTTAATGCGCTCCTTGGACGGGTTTCGGCCATCCCACGGGTTTGGGTCCAGCGTGTTCGACTTCCAACGGGTTGATGCGCTCATCCAACGGGTTTGACGTCCAACGGGTTTGACGTCCAACGGGTTGGGTCCAACGGGTTGATGGGTTCATCCAACGGGTTGATGGGTTCATCCAACGGGTTCGGGTCCAATGGGTTAATGCGCTCCTTGGACGGGTTCGACATCCAACGGGTTTGGGTCCAGCGTGTTCGACGTCCAACGGGTTAATGCGCTCCTGGGACGGGTTCGACGTCCAACGGGTTTAATGCGCTCCTGGGACGGGTTTGACGTCCAAACGGGTTGGGTCCAGCGTGTTCGACTACCAACGGGTTGATGGGTTCATCCAACGGGTTCGGGTCCAATGGGTAAATGGGCTCCTTGGACGGGTTTGACGTCCAACGGGTTTGGGTCCAGCGTGTTCAACTCCCAACGGGTTAATGCGCTCCTGGGACGGGTTTGACGTCCAACGGGTTTGACGTTCAACGGGTTTGTGTCCAGCGTGTTCGACTTCCTCATCCAACGGGTTCGACGTCCAACGGGTTTAGGTCCAGCGTGTTCAACTCCCAACGGGTTAATGCGCTCCTGGGACGGGTTTGACGTCCAACGGGTTGGGTCCAACGGGTTGATGGGTTCATCCAACGGGTTGATGGGTTCATCCAACGGGTTCGGGTCCAATGGGTTAATGCGCTCCTTGGACGGGTTCGACATCCAACGGGTTTGGGTCCAGCGTGTTCGACTTCCAACGGGTTGATGCGCTCATCCAACGGCTTCGACGTCCAACGGGTTTGACGTCCAACGGGTTTGACGTCCAACGGCTTGGGTCCAGCGTGTTCGACTAATGTTTGGTTTTCTGTGTTTAAAATCACTCCCAGAATGAACCCTTTCAGTTTATTTATATATTTTGCTATTTTTATTTACTTTGTTGATCTCATTCTGTACCTGCATATGGTTTTGTGATGACATCCAACCCTGACTGAGACATGGAGTCCAGCTGTGTTGGGTCTGTCAGTGCTTGTACATGCTCCGTATAGTTCCTCCAACATACTGACATTCAGATTGCCGCCAACACATGTAGCCATTGTGGATGAGCGGCTCATGTATTGGTTTGTTCAATTCTGTGGATAATATCAACTGGCTGAGATCATGCGCGATATGATCCCACTGTTGAATTATCTGCTTGATACTCTGTGTGGCTGTATACTTTAACTGATGAGTTGAACCCTTCAAATGCCGTTCAATTTCTGTTGGCCATACTGCATACTTGCATTGACGGCATATGATGATGGGGTATGATTCACACTGAATGAATAATTGATGTTCCATGTTAATGAAGTCAGTGTATTCTTGAGTTGATATATATATATATATATATATATTCTCTGAAAATGAAGTATAAACACACTTCACTCGACAATGTTAATTTGCTCTAAATTTAAGTTTTGTAATGCTTCTAAGCAATTGCAGATCAATACTTAAATGTATGATGTTAATTTCTGTCTGATTGTTATTTCGCTGATCTGTGACCGTTTTGATGATGGTAGTTGCCCTGGGGCGAAATATATATATTTAATATTGATAACTCTGCAAAACAACTTATCTACCTTAATGTTGTAATAATATGATTTTCTGATGAAATTATGTCTTGAAATTAAATATCATACTCTGTATATATAATATAACTGGCTACTGAAGTTTAAGGTCTGGTTGTGATGAGTTGTCTATGAAAATATAATATTATACATTTTATAACGGAGGTGAAAGGCTGATTTGTATTGAAATTTATAAAGATGACAGCTAGCTGCTGAAGTTGGAAATCTGGTCATAATGAATTGCATGAGAAAAATATATATCTTTAATCATTTATAGCTCTATGTTGTCATCTATTTCTACTGTTACATATGATGGCTGCTGTTTTTGAGCCTTTCTGCTAACGCTCTTTTCCATGTTCCGTGCCCGCTTTCGCACCCCTGGGCCTGGGTTAAACCCCAGGAATTCATGATTGCATGAGAAAAATATATATCTTTAATCATTTATAGCTCTATGTTGTCATCTATTTCTACTGTTACATATGATGGCTGCTGTTTTTGAGCTTTTCTGCTAACGCTCTTTTCCATGTTCCGTGCCCGCTTTCGCACCCCCGGGTTAAACCCCAGGAATTCATGCCACTCCCGGCTGACAGCCTGGTACCGCACACGCCGTTCCTCAATGTGGCCTGGTGCCTCCTGCAGCCCCCGCGCATATACTGTACCTGCAGCCCAGGATCCATGGCCTGCCTGCTGGTCTACTGCCGCATCATCTGCCTCATATTCCCGCTTGAACCCTCCACAGGACAGGTGCATACGCGAGATGGCAATGGCGGCATGCCGCCAAGGGATTACATTGAGCTTGGTCTGGAGGTGTGTCTTTGCCTCGCGCTGAAGCACCACCCGCAGCCGGCTGCTGTCCCACGGTCCATGCCCCCGCGGCCAGAGAAATGGTGACCGCAGCCCCCCTGGCTATCAGTGTCTCCATATGCAAGCCGCTGGACCGCCCGCGCGAAAGGTAGAATCAGCCAGAGGTAGTACACCACCAGCTCGGACTGGAGCACTCTCCGGAGGCGGTGGGCAACAGGGTTTCTGAGTGCGGTCAAACACCGGCTCCAGCTGGTCCTGCATCATCGCAGCCACTGCGGCCTCCCGGAGACCTGCCGTCGCGGCCGAGGGATGGTTGCGGTGCCGCTTAGCCAGGTGGGTGAGGACATTTGCAACAGCAACAGCAAATCCACATGGGCGGCAGATCCACAGGCGGTGGGACCTATTATAAATAAAGAGATCCATTCTCACAGTAAATCTCTCATCAAAGTTGGCTGTCTGTCAATATTTGAAAGAGTATATTTAAAAGAGGAAGAACCCCATCAGCAGGCATTTCCTAGGCCTCCATTCGCAAAATACCGCACAGCTTGCATATCAATGGTTCACCCTTCCCCGCTAAAACAACGCATTATTCCCAAATCCCCTTCACGTAGAATCGCCAATTGGGGACACGGGAATTCCTTTCCAACCATCCCACCCGCGAAACGCCACTGGAGGAATTTTGTGGGGGAAGAGAACAAAGCATGGCTCTTACTTAAAGGGTTGGCGGGAAAAACTGGCTGATACCGCCCAGGACCATGATAGCC